GGTTGGTCAGTAAAGTCAGCTTCCAATCGGGCGAGGACATCATCTACTTTAAAATCTAACAACCCCACTGCGAGGGTGGGGAAAAACAAAAAACACTGGGCTGAGGGTTGAGGGCCCTAAGCGCGCTTCCAAGACCCCCAGAATATGATTCTTCAAGTCAAGACCCCGTGTAACCACAAGCATATGAGCCATAGTCTAAACTCCTAGTTACTCCCCTAATACCCCCAAGAATACTCCCCTATTACTCCCCTATATAACCTCCCTTTAAGAAGTTCAGACTATGGCTCATATGCTAGAATTTCTGCCGCAGCACAAGCCCGCACACTCGGATGAGAAGCTTGTCAGTGCAGCTGCGCAGCAGCCCTCCAGTCCAGCAACCTCCGTTCCCGGCTCTTGCAGCACGTCCTCACTTGGGGGGCTCCCAAAATTGCGGGTGCCATTTTTGGGGGGTCCCTGTAATAAGTATTGTACAGTATATTGTGGTCTATATGGCTTCCCCTTATTTTGGGAAACTGCCATTTCGCTTGATCCTAAAGAGACCCACCTGGACATGAATGTCTACTTAGAATGGGGGCACGCAAAGCCCAAAATGTTCTGAGTAGCTGTACCAATAGTTTTCCTATACGCAAGCCCACGTACACTGACACGTCACCATCCAAGATTATAATGCTATGTACCTTGGTCATTCCAGAGCCTTCTATTTACAGCCCTGTAAGGCGTCGAAGTTCTCACGCCAAGCTTTTTAGGTTGCTGTTCACCCCGTTTTCTCTGTTTTGATTTCTGGCTTGTCCCGCTAGTCCAAAGTACGCTCCATTGGCATGAGGGAAGAAGGAGTGTGTTTCTTCAATTCTGCTGCGCCCTTTTATTCGAAGATAAGCCCCACAGTACTACGACGACAAAGGCCACTGCCACCGCCACCAGCACCAACACCAGCACAAGCACCGGCATATTATGGTCACCCACCACCACTGCCGCCGACGCCCCACCGCCACCACCACCACCACCGCCGCCGCCGCGGCCGCCTCCCCGGCAACCGCACAAATGACGACAACCTCGAGCTTAAAAGAAAACCCTCGATGCCAACCGGAAAAATTGGTGACATGATAGCTTCTGAGTGCCGATCTGAACCACTGGCAACCTGCACAGCCAGCAGCACGAAGAGGGCGAAGGCCATAGATGACATCGTAGCAGCACGCGCGGGTGATGGGTTAAGGTCTCTTCACAGAAGGCATGCGGAATATGGATCATCAAATGGGGTTCAACAACCACATTGACGAATCTAACAAAACAACGCTGGGCCGAAAGTAGCGCTGCAGCCAGGAAAGAAACATACTGCAAGGTGGCTGTGGCAGGAAGGCCAAGAAGTATCAGGAATCTTCTGGGTTCGGATCTTGGGTATCCATTGTATAACGTGACTTATACTGCAAGTTCTTTTGCGGCAACCCAGCACAGGGTGCAGGGTAGAAAGAATGAAGGCAATGATGAACTTCTGAAAGATTTCTCTCATCTGAGCTTTGGTGGCAGAACCCCCTAGTTATGACCCAAAAGGATCATCATGGGCAGGTTGAGTCAGCTAGCATGCACACAGAGTAAACCCCAAACCCTCTAACTCTCACCTTCCAGGCCCTTGGGGCGCTATACTAATGTTTAAGGTTTAGGCCGTGCACGCCACCCTATAACCGTCCCTGCATCACTCACCCACTGCCCTATAAAACGTCCGCAGCCAGCCTTAAGCCCTAAATCCGCAGTCAGAAAATCTCTTCTCTGGCTCGCTTTAGGGTTAGCATTTAGGGTTTAAGGTTTAGGGTTTAGGGTTTGAAGCTTAGGGATTCCCATTCACTTGTCCATTCCGAAGCCCTTGAACCCTCTTTGTCCTTGTAGGTACGGAGCACCAGTACTTGGAGGTTCAGAGTAACTGTAACTCAATTACAGGTACTTACGACCCAAATATGAGCGTTCCTAGATACTACATAACCGCAACATTTGATCCTTCAGAATTGGGTTACAATTACACCAAGCCCTAAACCCTAAACACTAAACGGCATAGTAGTTACCAGTTCCCATTATCCCACTGAACAAAACGAGGCTATAATTCCACCAAACCCTATACAGCCTAAATCCCTAACCCATAAACCCTGAACCCCCAGAACCCTAAACCCTAGACCCCGTAAACCCTAAACCTAAAAACTCTAAACCCCAAACCCCCCTGATCGCTAAATCCAAACCCCTCAACCCTACACCTAAAACCCTAAACCCCCCAAAACCCCCCTGAACCCTAAACCCCCCAAAACCCCTCTGAACCCTAAACCGCCATGTGAGCTATAGTCTAAACTCCTAGTATCCCCCTTAATAACCACTATAGTAGTCCCCTATATAATCCCCTACATAACCCCCTTTAAGGAGTTTAGACTATAGCTCATGTCAGGTTGGAGCCTGGAGAGTTTCGGCGGCATCACCGGGAACTGAGAGCCTGAGCTGACGGAAGTTAGGATGTGGGTAGTTTGGGTCTAGGGCTTCAGGTTTATCTAGGGTTTAGGGTTTAGGGTCCCATTTTGGTACCCATAAATATTAGGTGCCGTAACATCATCTATGACCAAAAAGGGCCCAAAATTTTGAGAACAACCCATGTCGGGCTTAGGGTTTGAGTGTCGAACATAGGGTTCGGAATTGAGGGCTTGTGCTTTAGTTTCTAGAGTTTAGGATATGCGGTTTGTGGGCTAAGGGCTTAGGATTGAAGATTCAAGGCTTAGGTTTCAGGATTTCGGGTTAAGGGTTAAGGGCATTTGATTTACAGTTTAAGGTTTTGGGTTTGGGGCTTAAGGGTGGGTGTTTGGGGTTTAGGGTTTGGGGTTTAGGGTTTAGGGTTTGGGGTTTAGGGCTTAAGGTCTAGGGGTGCGGCTGTTTATGTGTGTCTGCCTGCGCGCTTTGGCGCCTGCACTATATCAGGTTGCTGCACATACATGTGTATATGACATCTGGTCGTAGGGGAGTTTGGTTGGACTTGAAGATCTCTGAACCCTAAACCCTAAATCCCAAACCACAAACCCTACATCCGGCCAGTAAAGAAAGGGCCCGCGCCTCGCACCCTGCACCTGTGCTTGTTCAGGGTATAATCCTGTCCCCCTCATATTAAGCCCCCCCCCCCACCGCCCCGCCCTAATATTAATTACTCCAAATGTTATTATATTTCACATAATGGGAGCACTCAATATTAGGGGGGCAGGGGGCCTAAATCCTAACCCTGAACCCTAAACCCTGAACCCTAAAACCAAAACCTTAGGGGTGGGGGGGTTATATATTAGGGGGCGGGGAGTGGTGCCTAGATTTGGGAAGCACATCA